TTAAACTGTCTTTGCTCAATTTTTTTCAGATTAATCAGACAAAAAGCAAAAAAAATGAAAAAAATGCAAAATTTGGCAAAAAAAATGTCTGCGACAAATTTTCGAATTTTGAAATTTTGAAACTGCTATTCTTTCAGATTTTGCCAGTAGATTCCAAAAATGCAAACCCAAAGAAAATCGACCGAAAAATACGACTTCTAGAGCCGATTATCTATTCTTGCATATATTGAACTGTGGCACTTCCGGTTTTGCAAAAAAGATCCAAAATATATTTATGCACATCGTCGCCTATATCTAAGGTTCGTGAATGTTGAATGGTTGCTGCAACTATTGTAGTCTAAGCTCAGGAAGGTGTGTAAAAATCGAAAAAAAAAAAAAAAAAAAAGAATTGACAATTCGATAACAAACTGGGACTTTGCTGAAAGCAAAGTCCCACAATTAAGAACAAGATTCAATGGCCATAGATTTGATATACATCATAATCTGGACAAATCTGTTGCTAAGCATTTTAACCAGTCAGATCACACTTTAAATAATGTCCGAAATGATTACACCTTTTTACAAAATTCATGAACAAAACCATATCCCAACAAGAAAATTTCTGGAAAAACAAATTGAAAACAATACAGCCAAATGGTCTTAATATGCAAGAAGATTATCAAGTTATTCCATTTGTTATACTTTTCAATTGCCAAGCCATACCAATTATCAAGGAACTCAAACAAAAATTCCCTGGTATATTTAAAAAAAACTTAAACGCAATGAGAATCTAATTGATATTTTAGTCCATATGGTATTAAGCCAATAGCTTATTAGAATTTTAATATCAATATAATATGTAATTATATTTTTTTTATAGATCAATGGTTCCTTCACAGTTTTAAATGCTCTCTCTATGGTTCCTAGGATGCTTGTTACAGCCACAGAAAACGACAACTTCATTCACATTAATATATATACTCTCAGAGGCGGATTGAACTATAGGCAAACTAGGCAGCTGCCTTTCGGCCTATGAAAAATTTTGTAATTATCGAACAGTTTATAAATTTCCGCAGTCCCATCGAAATTTCGGCCCAGCCGATAAGAATTTCCTTCACATAAAACATGCTAAACTTCCTTATTTACAATATTATAAAGGTCTCGCAACCTTAGCACCTGCAGGGAAGAACAAACAGTTCTCATAATCTTTAAATTTGTCTAATCTTAATCTTTCGTCCATTTCGTTGCCACTCTTTAATGTTTCTGTGACCTATATGTTTTTTTAGTTTATTATCTCCCTTGAAAAAATATTTATCATCTAATCTAGCTGAATGCGTAATTTCTTGTCAGATTAGTGCTGTTCTTCCTAGAAATCAAACCTTTCTCACCTATTTTTATTTTTTACCGCTCGTTAAACGGATTAGTCCCGAAACGTGGCTACCTTTACTCTTATTGTATTGACTTTTTACCTACCAACCTACCGTTTGCACGTTATCGTGTGATTTATATTTTATTGTTAACTATCGACTTTTTATTAAAATACAATAATAATAAGAATAATTTATTTATTTCGTACATAAAAGTACACATTACAAAATGAAAAAAAAAAAGAAAATGTAACTAATAAAGCACAGATTATATACAATAGAATATAAATACATGAACATGTATTTTAACTTGTGGTTAAATAATAAATAATGCACTTCGATATTCATATTCCCTAGATCAAAACTCCATAAAATGAGAAATTAGGCCCTCTAGCGTTCGTTTGTCTACGGCCCAAATCCGCCACTGTATACTCTATTATTTTAGAATTATTCAATTTGTAATATGTATTGCTTCATAATTTAAATTTATTAATTTATAAGTATCACGTTGATGTAGCTGAATTTTCACCTTGGCCTTTTGAGGTATGATTTCCTCCCCATTTTAAGTTCCTTCTTTAGTTCCTAGTATGTTGAAACAGAAAACGACGACCTTCAGTCAAATAAGTATAATTTATTATATTATATATTATAATATTACATTCTCTATTATTTTAGAATTATTTAAATAGTTTATTGATTTATAAATATCACACTGATGTTGCTGAATTTTTACCTCGGCCTGTGCTTTCGTAATTTCAATTATATGATGTTACAACCACTCTTACACAAAGTGACAGAAAAGTCAACCTGGTAACGGTGGTCACTCAGAGTTAGGATGTATTGAGACGAATCTCAATGAAAGCACTGGCCTAGGTCACAGAGCAATAGATAGCTTATTAATTATGTGAAAATTAGTTAGTTAGTATTCCCTGAAATCTTGCTTAGAAATCGATTAATCTATTGATATAACATGATACATTTATATGAATATTAGGACAAATGGGCATTGTTCAATGGTTCAAGTCTACCGTGAAAGAGAAAATTGCTAAGATTTTGATTTCTTATGTAAGCTACAACCAAACGAGGCAAACGTTATGTACATGGGGAAATTTGTTTTGAAGTCCCGAGTAATGGCGTTTGGCTATTATGTGTAGAATCAAATGTTACAAAGGGCATTATCTGGTTATCGTATGATGAGAATTTCATCAATGGAATGATCGGGAAGCTTGCAGTTTTTCGCAATTGGTCTATCCTTTCCATGATATCATAGCGATGGCCATCGAATCGCGTTATTGTGCATAGCATCTTTTACAAGAAATTAGGTATATGATATTCTGATCTGCGCAAGAAATTGGGTCATTCATCGCAAATAATTTTCCGTTTTTGTTAATTTTGACAAAAAATGGTTAACATGTATGTGTTCGCATGTGCGACACGTAGAACCTCCACAGGGACATGAACCGAATAATTGGTGGAGGGGGTCTCATTTTTCTCAAAATGTCTGAAAGCGTGTCATTCTTATTTTTGAAGAAATCTTTTGGAATAACCTCTCTTCCTTAATTTGTCAAAACTAGTTTACAGCCTGTTGAGTGCAAATTCTATATAATCCTAGAATTTGGGATTTAATTATTCCAGAAAATGTGTGCTTCGGGTGAAACGAGCTTTTGTAGAAAAGTTGGTATAATCACATTTATTCCCTTAAAGAATAAATGTTTTTATTGTAGAGGACTACAGGATGTTTACATTCTTATGTCATGCTCATAATATTTTTTCCTGTGGAAAACTCCACTAGTTCAAGGTTGTGTCAGCGAGCCCCAGCCTGGGGATTTTGAGTAAATTCACTAGGTATGTAGGTAGGTTAGAAAATTTATATTTTGTATCAATTTCTAAAGCCACCTCCCACCCAACTAATGAAATTATGAGAATTGTGCTCCTTTTTGTGTTATTTGATTTGTTATTATAATGCAGATATTGATAAGATACAAGAACTTCTATTAATTTCACCACTGTTATTGATAGTGAATGGTGGAATTCGTAGCAAATAGTCACGACATTTTCAGTTGTTACATATAAATTATATTTGAATTTGGATACTTTTTCTGGGATTTTAACTATATAATATTTCAGGAACTTGACATATAACTGCCAATGAGGCCAATACGCGGCACATTATTTTTTGACTGGCATTGTTTCCAGGCCTTATATCTGTTTGTTCTTTGGGGGCTGCCATAAATACTTTTGCCGGCAGTCTCGTGAATTGAGTTGTATTTCATTGTGTAATACATTGTTGCACAATGTATATAATTTATTTGTTAAGAGATTGTTTTAGGGAGTTAATGAAAGGGGAACTAATCTACCATGGACAAATTGGTGCTAGGTTATTCAGTTATCAATGAGTTGTGAAATACCAGTCTTATGCACATCTGTATATGCACTTGTTTTCTTTAAACTCCCTGGAAATCCATGTAAAAGCTTGCGAGTTTTTGTTCTTGGTGAATCATTCCTCCCACCTGCTACACTCCAAGCTCCCAACTATCTCTTTCGGTACCTTTCTGTCTTTGTTTGCAAACCTTTCACCTTTTTTCTTCAATCTTTCAATTTCTCTGATACGCTTTACTTCTGTCCTTTCTTACTTTTTTCCTACCTTTTGCCTTTGAAATTCAGACAACTACTGAGGAAAAAACAAACTTTGGTTATTCATTGTCTGGTCTTATTGGTGTTGATGGTTGTGTAAGAAGATGTCTTTCTAGTGTTTCAATGGTCTGCTGTCTGGCACTAGAAGACTCTCAGCAGCAGTGCTCATCCGGCCCAGATCTGTCTAGCCCTGGGATAGCCCTGGCCAGACTAGGCCATGTGCTGCCAGATCTGGGTCCGATCTTGTGTAGCACTGGTACCACATATTGCAGGAAATATTGTGCTGCCAGATCTGGGTCGGATCTGGTGTAGCACTGGTACCACGTATCTTTGATATTGTAAGAAATATAGTGCTGCCCGATCCTGTCAGCACTATAATTGTCTAATTGATCATACATCTCTACTACTTCTATCTTCTATAGGTATGTATGATTTTCGTTCCTTATCTTTTGACAAATATATGTGTTTTGATGTCGGGTCGGATTTTTTTTTTATCCCGATACCTTTTTGCCCTTTCTGCTGCTGTAAGAACCATTCTGAAAAGAACATGAATATAGTGATTAAATAGAAAACTGTTTATAGGCACATTGTTTAGCATTATTTCTAATGGTTAAATTTTACCATACAAGTTTATAAGAAAGTCATCTCCGTCACAGGTAAGTCATATCAGAAAGTGATGGAACTGACCGTGACGGAGATGACATACTTTAAACGTTATTTAGGATATGAATAGTAACAATTCAATAACCATTATAAAATTGTGACCATGCCTCGGGAAAACGACAAGAAAGTCGAATTTGGCTTAAAAATCAAATTCAAATACAATATAGAATAGTTTTTGTTTGTTCGGAAAGGACAAAGAATTAACTTAGGCTAAGGGGTACCTCGATAGATTTTGAAACATATAGAAATTTTGAAAATTTCTTGTAATGTAAAAATAACCTCGTTACTCATATGGCTGCCGTCGTCTAAATTGTAGTTACTTGATCTTTTAATAGCGCGCCAATTCTCAGGATTTTGATATAGGATGTTGTGTGATATAGAACTCAAAACCTTGGGACACCAATTTTTCATAACATAATATAAATTTTCAGAAATGATTTATAATTATTACGTTTGCAGAAAATGTATTATGAATAAAACAAGTTTGAATATTGTGAATGAAAGAAAAAGGAGCAAAAAATGTTGTGAATCAAAATGTTTAAAATTATGAGTAAAATCGGCATCGGTGTTTGTGGCATCGATACTTAAGGGGAGTTACCGTAAACTAAAGTCTGATTTTTTTTTCCAGTTTAGCAATGTCTGTATAAGTTTAACACAAAACACATTAGGAGATAAAGAAACCTTTCATAAAATGATGGTTTAAAGGGGGAGATTTTTCTATCTCCCTCTCCTACTCGACCATATAAATATTCGCATAATTAGGGGCAAATCGTCAGTTCCACATGTTTGTAAATATATTTTTCCATTAAAAAAGAAGTCGTTGTGCGTTAAACATAGTTTAAGTAAGTTAGAAGGTATGTTTCGATAGAGCATAGAACGGTATTCGTAATCGAACGCATACCGGAAGCGGAAGTACACGATTGTATATCTTCCGCCGTACGTCAACAAAACAACGGCGAATTAGTCAGAGACTTAAGTTAGTTACTCGTCCATGTGTTTAAAGATGAAGAAATTGCAAATTATATTTCTTCTCTGTGTGACAGGAGTGAGTTTTATTTCGGCGCTGAAGAATGCTACAGGTAGGTGAATGAGAATAGAACTGCTGACACTGAATTTTTATTAATCGAATTTTCGGGTTCGAATATCCTAACATCATTCATCATAACATTTAACATAGCATGCTTAGTCTACTGGTAGATTCTACTAATGGTACAGTAACATCATCATATAATATTATTGGTACACTTTAATTTCTCTCATTTTATAAATATTCAAAATAGCATTTTTCAACTGTATGTAGAGACTAGTTTTTATCTGATAAATAAAATTTTGTGTGATCATTTATAATGTAGAGATCCTCGACAACTTTGAATTTGACAATATTTTGATGAACATTTTTGAGTTATTGACCTTGACTTAGGAAATTTATTTGCGAACACATAAAGTCTGGCGCACGCACGAGCCATTAGCTCAGGCAGATTTCATTCGTGCACTTCTACTCAAGGTGATAGATTCTGAGTGCAGGTAAATTTATGTAAGATTTTTTTCATTCGTTACGAAAGGTTGATTGGTAATTTTTTCCACGAATGAACAAATGCTTGTGTGTGCACGTAACTAAAGCTATCTGCTTAGAGGTAAATTTATCAAAGCATGCGTAGTCAAGCGACAATTCAAAATTGTCGCGCCAGTGGAATTGAAATGGATGGATCTCATAATTATTCGTCTTCAGAAGACCTGACACATAACTTTGTGCAACAGTCAGCCTTTCACTTGGGCTTATTAAAAATCTTACATAAATGTACCCGCAGACGGAAGCTATCACCTTAAGGAGAAGTGCACAAATGTATTCTGTCTGAGCTGATGGCTCGTGTGTGCACAGGACTTCAGAGACTACATTTTTTTATCTTAGATATGTTCAAATTTGACAATTTTTCGAGAAACAAAATTTCAGTTATTACCCTTGACTTAGTAAAAATGCATTAAAATTTGTTGGCTTGTGAACGCAATTGAGGTGACAATTTATGTCAAATTTTTATTAAATTTTGTGTTTGATTAAATCAGCAATATTTTGCACAAATTAGATTTTTGGTTCGACTTGATGCAGATTGGTGACTGACCTTGACATACTGAAAATGTGTCGGGGAAGTAGGCGTAACTAGCTAGGCAACCACTTGTTAACAAGTACATTTTTGGTCCGATAAGCATGCTTAGAATTTACGGCAAAATATTTGGGGACATTTCCTGCTCGGTTCTTGGTCATTTCACGTATTCATTGGTCAATTCGTGTACTAAAATTGATTTCACAATAATTACAGATGGTGTTCAAGAACTTACCAAAGATCATTCAACAAAAGTGATGAAAGACTCTGCTTTTAACAGTACAAATATTATGGATAATCCAATAAATGTTACGAAAGCATCTACTGGCGGTAAAGATGGTGGAAATAAAACTGTTACTAACAGCTGGCATATTACTACTGATAGGGGAGATGATCCTAATAGGGGGGCTACGAAAAATAATTCAACAGTGGTTCCCAAAGTACCTACTGGTAATTCAAGTAATGGAGATGGTGAACGCCCAACTGATCCTAATAGGGGGGCTACGAAAAATAACTCAACAGTGGTTCCCATAGTACCTACTGTTAAAACAGATAGTGAATATGGTAAATACCCAACTGATCCTAATATGGGGGCTACGAAAGTTAACTCAACAGTGGTTCCAAAGGTACCTACTGGTGATCCAGATTATGAAGATGGTGAACACCCAACTGATCCTAATGGGGGGGCTACGAAAAATAACTCAACAGTGGTTCCCATAGTACCTACTGTTAAAACAGGTAGTGAATATGGTGAACACCCAACTGATCCTAATAGGGGGGCTACAAAAGTTAACTCAACAGTGGTTCTAAAGGTACCTACTGGTAATTCAAGTAATGGAGATGGTGAACGCCCAACTGATCCTAATAGGGGGGCTACGAAAAATAACTCAACAGTGGTTCCCATAGTACCTACTGTTAAAACAGGTAGTGAATATGGTGAACACCCAACTGATCCTAATAGGGGGGCTACAAAAGTTAACTCAACAGTGGTTCCAAAAGTACCTACTGTTAAAACTCCTGTTCAACAGACAACTGTTACAAGAGGTGGTAAATCTGGAACTAATGATAATGATCAAGAGAGTCCTCAACCACAAGAAAATGGTATCAATTTAAGTAAAGAAAAAGATTACACACCAGAAGGTCAGTTCGTGTGGCATTGTACTCCTTAATTTTTTGTAGAATTTGGCATTGGTCTGATGATATCTAGGATATGGTTGACAGTCATAAACCATCAGTAATAATTCTGCAGTCATGATAAAACATAAAAAATAAGTATCTTCTGGCAAATGTGTGAAGTATAACTCAGAAAGTCAGATCAGTGAAATAATAGTAAATAACCTTCATATTTATACAAAATAATTAGACGACAATCAAGATATATAAATGTAAGAAACATAACAGGTTTTGAATAGATTTATAGCTATAAAATAGGTAAAAGAAAAAAATCTTCTAGTATAATATTGTGTCTTTTATTAATGTTTTTAAATTCTATTTACAGCTGATTCACCTTCATCTGGTCATTTCATGGGATATTTATTAACAGCAATCATTCTATGTGTAGCTGGTTATGTGGTATTTCATAATAAACAAAAGGTAAAATTTGTAGTTACAGATGCTCATAAATACTCATAAAAAAGTAATAAGATTGACATTTTCATCTTTCATTTTTCTTCCAAAAGTATAAGGTTACAAGGCAGGAATCATGAAAAGCAGGTGGAGCGCCCCAAAATGCTAAAGATGCAGACTGAATGACAAGGTTTTGCAAGGGGGTGGGGAAAAGTTTAATTGAATTACGATTTTTTTTAGTACAATATTCGGATTGTCCTCAATTTTGACAAATTTTTAGGCCTGTGTTCAAATGACAGGCTATTTTTATATTTGGAGCTCATTTCTTATATTCCTTGATGCATTGTATAATATGAATTGGTTTTTTGTTTTTTTGTTTTAGATCATAGCTTTTATAGTTGAGGGTCGATCTGGTAGACAAAGAAGACGGACTGGTAATGGAGTAGAATATAAGAAATTACACAGTAATGTGGAAGAAGTTATGCCGTCTTTAGATCAGTCAGCAGCTTCCAAACATTTTATTTATTAACTTACTTTCGATCATTTGGAGAATTATTGTGTAAGGACTTTTTCTATATTTTTTCAGCTAATAAACATACCTCTAGTTTCCAATAGGCATATAATTTTGGGTTTCCCTTTAATTCCAAATTCCTTTAATCTCAAAATACATAGATGATATATTATACTACTTTTAGTTTGTTTATTCATTAATTTAGCAATATAAGAATTCATTCATCATTCCATATTAATAGCTTGATTCTTTTTAACATATTTTTGCCTAAATATTTTCCTTGCCAAATGATAAGCTGACTTTCAGTTACCTGAAGTGGTTTTTACTTCCAGTTTGACTACAATTAGATAACAATGCACTTGAGGAAGCCACAATAAGCTAAAACTTTTAGGGTTTTTTGAACATTTTTCCTCTCTCAAGAATTATATGATCTTGTAGGTAATAACTCGCTGAGAATAGATTAACAACAACCTTGAAACATGTTGAGATGTATTTATTTACTGGTAGACAAACTGAAATGGATCTTAATTAACAGGTTTAGCAAATAATAATTGGGATGACAAAATTCCTATCTCTTAACAATTCATTTTATATCTCCACATCGTCATCACCCACTTGATTGCGAATAAGACAGTTTAAAGTTATTATCATGATGAAATTTAAAACTTTGATCCAATTGTGAAGAAAGTAGGTATGTATTAGTGGTATTGATGAATGCCTAAACATGCCTTACTAGTTGTAAAAATATAGAAATAAGCTTTACATAGAACAAGATGAGATCCTGCCTAGCAAGCTAATCTTTGTGATAAGATAAGTTTCATTGTACATATTATTTTAAACTTGCTGATGTGTACATACAAAATGGTCTTCAATTCTCATATATTTGTGTCAAATTATTGCTTTATAGAATGATACATTCATTACATTTTTCTATGACTGCTGTGTACTTTGGTAATCAGAAATATGTCAAATATATTTTGTCTAGAAAGAATTTGAATTATGAAAAGAAGCTTGGCAAATACCATTTACAGCTAATTTGATCAATTACAGACAAAAATAAAACTAAACTATTGAAATTTACTAGTATCAAATGTATCTATTTTTTTTATATGCAAAATGAAGACAGGAAAAACTACTCGGGTTATTATCAAGGTAACAATCAAGGTTTTTTTTATTTTAGTTGTAAGGATCTAAAATCATTAATGGTACAATATTAATAATTGTTTTAGCATTGTGTTCAATCCATATATTAGTATACAAGATTCTGAGGGATAGATGGTTATTTATATTATGTTTTATTCATGGATATCCAAACAGGAAAATCTCACTTTTATTTTTAAACTCGAGAAAGATTATTGTTATTTGGATGAATGAATTATGATGATGCTTATATTTCATTTTAATGGTTTACTATCCCTTCAGATGACCAAAACAATTGAAAAATGTTTAACTTGGCAAAAGGAGTCTTAGTTCATCAGTAGACTTACCTGATGTAATAACTATACAGCATAATCCCTCTATAGTCCAACAAATACATAAAACTAGTAATAATAAACTAACTAATTTTGAAACATGCTTAGATGTGTGTTTCGATAATTATTTAGTTTAATGGATATATCGTCTTCTACATTACATAGATATTTTATTCTTTATATTAGTCATGGCACCTGGTAAGTCCGACTGATGAATATATACACTCGTTGATCAAGTTTGAGACTTCAAGTTTTATGTCCATTCTAAGAGGTAGTATCCTTTTAAGATGGCTTTAATGGTCACTAGTCTATGTGTTGTCATTAAATGCAGAACTTAGTTTGAAATTTGCATGTTAAGTATACAAAGTTAGTAATGTATTGTATCAAATTAGACTTGTGTGAGAAATATTTCAATGATCCTATCTGATTATTTAATATCTTTGAACCGTGCCATTCTTTTCTTTATAAAGCTGGGTATTCAGCTAACTGTGACAGTTAAGAACAGCTTTGCTTTTAACAAATAATCAACTTATATGTGACAGTTTGTGTTGTAATGATTTGATCATATATGAATGAGACCGTATAATTTTTTCTCTGAAATAGATATTAACCAATACTAAGATTTGAATGGGTTGATTTGCTTGTGTTTTTTTGTTGTTGTGGTCATTAAAACTTCAAGGAAAACTGACCAAAAAGTTTTTCATTAAACTTACGTTTCTATACTAGAAACAATAGCATATCTTCATGGTCATTGTTCATGATTCAGTCCGTTTGTATTTATACATGTATATCTGTAAATAAATTGGGATTTTTATATTTGAATGTTGTTTAAACTGTTATTGTTTAGCTTTACTGTGGTTTGTTTTATTTTTATAGTTTATATGGCTGTTTAACAGTTTAATAAAGGGATTAACAACAATCAAATGATATGGTAACTTATTAGCGGTTTACATTCTGAATGTCCAGCCATACCTAACTCTCCGACTACACTGAGATGATAGCTCTCATATCACTAGTATTTACAATATAATTTGTAATTGCTTGCTATATGTCTAAGAATAATTTTTGGATCCATAGAAATATACAGTTTGAAAATTTAACATTTGAAAAACATACACTTCCCTCCCAAAAATTTCATGTGATATTCCCCTCTGTAAAATCGAATTGTCAATTCATTTTTTCATTTGTTGGCATTTTCATTCACCCCAAGCCAATCTAAGACTGTATTTTGCAGATTGCAGATTTAAATTCATACAGATATAATTGGTGAAATGGGATTCTGTAAACATTGTAGTCAGAAATCATGCAGCGAAGTAGGCGCAAAACTCCATTCATTTCATTCCATTTCATATCATTTACTCTAGAAATGGGGTCATGTGGTTTATGCATTTATATACTAAAGGTTCCTATCAAATTAAAAAGAAATGATGATCGACATTATAATGGTAGGAACAAGGTAAATCAAGATTTATTCCAGTCCACAGTTGTCAAATGTTTTTTAATATATATGATTGAAATACAGATCTGAATATTTCTTATTTTTTCTGTCAGTTTCTACTACATTCCCCATTCATGAAAAGCAAAAGAAGTCGCATCACAGAATGAAACAAATCTGATCTTCTCAATCAGATTGTTATCGAAAACCAATGCTGAGGATTTACGTGTTTTTTGAGGAAATGATCATCACTTGTCTTGACTCTGATTTTGATTTTGAGATCATCTAACTCTTTGACACAGCTCCTAAATTGTCTTATGCTGTAGAGTTTTGTCAAGAGTTTCACTATAATCTTTGTGAAAGCGTGGATACATGTGAGATATAACTCAAAATTCGTATTGGCGTCAATTTGGTAACAATTACTGTTTGTGTGCCCGCAGCATTATGTCATCCAATAAGATTTACTGATGTGGATGTCAAAATAATATGATCCTTACAAAACAAAAGCCTGCACTTATTTTGGCCAACTTCAAAGAGTAGTTGATTCGGAATGATAACATACTTTATAAGAATATATTTTATATACAAAGTACAAGTATATCAAAATGAGCAGTGTACATAATTCAATGATTGCCAAAAAGGTTTAAGCTTTTTTATGTAACTGAGACACTTAAAGCTTCACCACTGCTGTTTCATGTACATTGTAATCCTATTTTCAAAGGTTATTTTGATTGGTTAAAAATCACCATCTCATTTGAAACTATATTGAGAGACAGAATTTTGATACTTAATTGACAGGGTCAGGTGGTAAATAGAATAATAATAATAAATTTAAGTGTTCCTCATACATGATAGCTGGAAAGTTTAAAATTTATAGATGTAATATCACAATCCATATGAAATAAAATCTCCCAAAACTGGATCCATTTCATACTAACATGCACATTAAATTAAAAGAAATTAAGATCTTTTCATTTGATACTTTCATTTTCATTTCATTTTACTTGGTTCCGAGACCAAGGTAAGAATGGTCAAATGGATGATGAACCTATCCCTTTGATAATTTGCTCCGCTTATATAGTACAAGATATTATCACAGATATAATATTGTTCTTTACTACCATTCTATAAGCTAGCAATGAGACTTGAGTATCGTGTGGAAAACATTTCATCTTGACTAATAGCTGTTTGCATTTAACTATCTTACTGGATGATAAAGATCCGTGTAATTTGTACCTGTACAGTGAAATAAGACTAGTACAATCAAACAAAATAATCACAGATTAGGCTGTGATGAAAATATGAATTTCACCATGAGTATATTCATAAAGTCCTTAATGTGGCTATATTGAGATAAATATATCTTTATAATACAAATAATAAGATACTAGCACCCAAAATATTGTACCCCATAAATTAATAGCTAATTCACTCTCATGATTATGTGGAACATGGAAATACACTGGTGCCTTCCTGTTGAAAAACTCATGTCCAACATATAACACAATTGCATTCATTCCTGAAAAAAAAAACCACATTTTTTCTGATATGTAGAATATAAAGAATTATTCAATATATCACAATCTGAAACTCAAATCAATTAAAACAATCTCTAAAAAAGTATTAGAATTATATATTGAATACATAAACGTTCCTTGTGAATTCTGATTTGTCAGAAAAAAACTCCAGGCAATAACAAAAACAATATAGATATTCCTATAAATCATAAAAATATAAAGCAAGGCTGAAATAATCGGAAAACGATAAAACAGTAAAGAGACAGATAAATATATACATGTGTTTATATATCAGTATATTCTGTTTGAAGCTGCATAAGCTATGACACTTTTTACAAACAAATTTATTTACTTCCTTTGGTTGTCATTTAATTTGAGGTAGAAATATGGCAAGTTTTTTTAGTTGGTTAGATTGAGGATAAGATTTGGGAGCCATTAAGTGCTGAAAAAAGCATATTATACCTCCACCAAAATTATACATTTATATACACTTTATTAATGTGCAGATAGTAGGCCACTATACACCAAAATACTGGCCCCCATATATCCAATAATAATTGTAAATCATGTTGTTGTTTCACATTAAAACCAATTGGAAAATAATTTTCAAATACTTCATGGCTAACATAAATGAATATTGAATTCATGCCTGTGGGATATATAATAAATAATAAACAAATGTTTTTTAAAATGTTAACAATATATATAATATATTTCAGTGATATATGTATATAAAAAAGGCATAATAAGGGACTGGATCCATCAATTAATTGATAGAAGGGTAAACTTTTTTCTTAAATCCAAATAAAATATTTTCATTTTAAACAGAATTGTACCAAAATTTGTTTTTAACAACAATAACAGTCATTGAATATTTGTTTATAAGATTCCAATCCATTATTTTGCTCTATTAGTAAGTAACAAACCACAGTCCACAAAATAATGAAACTTTACCTGGATAATAAAATGGAGATCCAGACCACAATGGATATACATCTATTACTAAATAACATATCGTTAACAAAACAAAAGCCATACAAGCTAATGCTAAAACAAATGATAGAGACCTGAAGAATATAAAAATATGATGTAAACACGAGATCCATTATTAAAGATAGATATTCCCAGATAGAAATATTGTCTTCTAGGACAAATTTAATCCATTATCTTGACTTGTGATAAATCAATGACCCTAACCATGGATCATTTATGATTCTAAAATCTCTAAGTTATTATGTATTGTTATAGACCTATAGTAAAGAAATAAGAAATTTGATTACCAGAGATTTTTGTTGATTGGTATCCAGCCATCATCTTTTGAAGCTTTACATAACAGAGTAGCAATAGAACCCTATGAATAACAATGTACATTTTTTAGAAGTATATTTACTTAGTTTATAGAATAGATTAAGCTTCTCTAAAACTCTCTTTCACCAGTTCATAACGACATTGGACAACTTAAAGAGCACAAAGAAAACACCATATCACAAGAGAATTTTGCAACTTTCGGCCTACTCCCAGATGAATCAAAACCTCAGATCAAGATAACTATTTACAAATATGGATCATTATACAAGTTTATTACTATAATGTCTAAAAAATGGGCTTTTCCATGAAATAATTATTGTGTACTTACTGTAAACACAGCCCATATTAATAATCTCTTAATTCTTAGTACCCAATCTTTATGTATTAATAAAATCTTACCAGCCTAAAATACAATATCACAATCATTATTGTATACCCATGTAATCTTACTATACCTTTACAAAAAGATTCATACCCATTCAGTATCCATATTACACATATTATATTATATATTGATTATTACTCTGAACTATTTTCTCTGACTTGTGAAAGTCCAGGGCCAAAGCTTCCAGGAAGACATAATCTTGATTAGCTTGTTTTTAGAAACAAAAAACAGATGGTAGGATGTAGAATGTAGATATCACAATATTAAGCATTAATATATCACTATATGTGCAGATGATCTAATCTGGACAAAAATTTGATGATAAAACTACTAAATCATGATCTGGCAATTTTTCGGTATTTTTAATCAGGCCTTATTACTAACCATATAAATTCCTATACCAGTAATCATCCTGATACTGATATATTGCCCAACTTTAACAGAATGTTACATATTATAGTATTATTATTACTTACCTGTAAACCTAAGAAACAGAGAAAACAGGAATTCAATGTTCCTAGAAATCCTTCAGGATCATAGGGCACCGTAGAATGGTATATTTCCTAAAATATTGAAAACACACTAAAAGAAACAGTGTAATTCAGTTAACTTTTTAAAGAAACTCTTCATGGAATTATTTGAAGTTGTAATCTAGTTTGAAACAGGCACTTTAAATAATGTTATATGTCTTTTATTGACCACCAGTCATAACCTACTGCATTTCACTGTTAAAATTGTGCTCAATACATTAATAGTAGAAATATCAAACATGTCAAAAATAAGAGTGATATTAGACTACTGTTTACTTACTTTACAAGTAGGGTTTTGATATATATGATTATCACCAAATATTAGTCTATCTATATACCCAGCAGAACCCCCTGTACAATTCCAATGTTGACCTTGTTCTTCTAGCCCCCCTGGTCCAATATAACCTCTATAAATTATAAATAACATGATACATAAATAACAATAAATAACATAATACATAAAAAATATACAGATCTTAAAATCTATGTCCAATAAGATATGATCATTCTTGTAATCCATTCCTCCTAATCAAACCAAAGTATCATAAACAGAATTTTGTACAGCACTCAAACATCCTTATTTTTAGTCCTAACTTAACTGTTAAGTGAGTTGTCCGATAGGTTAACTTACGTTGGACAATCAGGAACTTTTAAAAGAAATGTAAGAAGAAGATGTATAGAAACAAACAATAGGTTTATAATCCATTCTTGCCAATAATCAACTATGTCTCTTACTGGTGCCCACCAACAATCCTATGAATTAATATTGTTAAACTAGAGGTATATCTTGAAATATTTACATAAGTTTAGAATGAATATTATGGTAAAAAAAAGTTTTTTAAAGTTATAAGCAAATGATGTTCATAAAACTTCATATTTTTGAAAAAAAACCCTGAAACTTCTTAAACATATGAAGGCATTTTTTGCTATATCTTGAGTACAAAATTACAACAGAAAATCAAAGCATGCTTATTTGATTCCTGAGGTGCCCACAGTCTCCGATGGAAGAGAATATCAATAACAAAATGCCCCATTTTGTTTTGTTTGTTATGTACCAGAAATATACCAGTGTCCGGCTTAAATTTTAAATCTAAAGAGAAATACTTACTCTGTTTGAATCATTAGCTCTAGTAAAAAATATATGTACAGTAGCAGTTATTAAGTAAGTACCAGCAAATCTTTGTAAAACACCTGGTATTCTAAAATTATCAAGCACAACACCACCTAGAATATATTACATATATACATGATATATCATGAAATAATAGCGTATTTACTTTTGAATAATTGAATCAGAATAAATTAATAAACCTAGCAGAAACAATATTAATACTTACTTTTAAATAATCTAATCAGAACAAATTAACAAACCTAGCAGAAACAATATTAATACTTACTTTTAAATAATCTAATCAGAATAAATTAATAAACCTAGCAGAAACAATATTAATACTTACTTTTAAATAATCTAATCAGAACAACTTAATAAACCTAGCAGAAACAATATTAATACTTACTATTAAATAATCTAATCAGAACAAATTAACAAACCTAGCAGAAACAATATTAATACTTACTTTTAAATAATCTAATCAGAATAAATTAATAAACCTAGCAGAAACAATATTAATACTTACTTTTAAATAATCTAATCAGAACAACTTAATAAACCTCGCAGAAACAATATTAATACTTACTTTTAAATAATCTAATCAAAACAACTTAATAAACCTAGCAGAAACAATATTAATACTTACTTTTAAATAATCTAATCAGAACAACTTGATAAACCTAGCAGAAACAATATTAATACTTACTTTTAAATAATATAATCAGAACAAATTAACAAACCTAGCAGAAACAATATTAATACTTACTTTTAAATAATCTAATCAGAACAAATTAATAAACCTAGCAGAGACAATATTAATACTTACTTTTAAATAATCTAATCAGAACAACTTAATAAACCTAGCAGAAACAATATTAATACTTACTTTTAAATAATCTAATCAGAACAACTTAATAAACCTAGCAGAGACAATATTAATACTTACTTTTAAATAATCTAATCAGAATAAATTAATAAACCTAGCAGAAACAATATTAATACTTACTATTAAAGAATCTAATCAGAACAAATTAATAAACCTAGCAGAAACATATTAATACTTACTTTTAAATAATCTAATCAGAATAAATTAATAAACCTAGCAGAAACAATATTAATACTTACTATTAAAGAATCTAATCAGAACAAATTAATAAACCTAGCAGAAACAATATTAATACTTACTTTTAAATAATCTAATCAGAACAACTTGATAAACCTAGCAGAAACAATATTAATACTTACTTTTAAATAATATAATCCGAACAAATTAACAAACCTAGCAGAAACAATATTAATACTTACTTTTAAATAATCTAATCAGAACAAATTAATAAACCTAGCAGAGACAATATTAATACTTACTTTTAAATAATCTAATCAGAATAAATTAATAAACCTAGCAGAAACAATATTAATACTTACTATTAAAGAATCTAATCAGAACAACTTAATACTTACTTTTAGGATAATCTCCAGAATTGATTAATAAACCTAGCACAAACATATTAATACTTACTTTTAGGATAATCTCCAGAATTGATTAATAAACCTAATAGGAATAAAATACAGGATCTCTTGAACACTTTCCATAACATGAATTTTTTAGCATAACCTTTTCTTAACTGACCAGAAAAACTATATGCCATGGCAGTACCCATGATAAACACAAACCTATAAAATATCTTAATATTCAGTACTTGATTAAAAAATTTGAATCATTAATACAAGCATAAAAATAATTTAAGAAATATATAAATATATATGTGATATCTGCAATACAAATATTTTGTATACAGTTTTCCAAGAATCAATAATAAGAAATGAAAGATAACATTGCCTAACATTTTAAAAACATTGACAGTCACATAAAACTTGATATAAATGAATGAAATTGGTCCAATGAGGATAAACAATGCCATATATCATAACTAAATTATAATATAGGAAACTAGTCTGTTCTTTTTTATTTTTGAAATTCAAAGTCTTAAGCATAGACATCATGCAGCACATAAACAAACATTGATACTTTCTGCTGGCTAGCATAAGTAAGAAATTACTTAGCAGGTGACAAACTTAACAAGAGAATCTCCCATGGCTAAAAGTGTTTATGATAAGCAAGTGTTAAAAGGGCATTCAAATTTAAATTAGACCAAACTTTAGCTCTGTTTTTTATCAACTTTTATTCTTATTTTAGCTACTTCAGAAAGGGTCTGATGTCGGCCTTCTTGAATAATCGTCTATTTAATGACACTGCCAACCGATCAAATTCCTACCCTCTCTAAAGCTGTGATTTTGTGATGCAAACAAAAAGAGTATTCAGTGTCTAATGCTTCTCAAAATACACCTTTTGTTTGAGTCATAAAATAAAAGCCAATAACATATGGAACAAAAGTTTGGTACAATTTAATTAATTTTTAATTAATTTTAAATAGACTATTAAAAGGGTTATCTTCAATGAAAGAGGCAACAAAATTAATATTCAAAGCTAGCAGGTTAATAAAAGGAGAAAAGATGATAGGGTAAGACTAGTTAGAAACATTACCAAGGAAAAACTAAATCAGCTACAGTAAGACCATTCCAATCTGAGTGGTTATAAAACCAATACCCCCCTCCACCATAATTCACAAAAATCATAATAGTAATACTCAATCTGTAGAAAGTATAGAGAAATGTTAGAATTAGTATAAAGCTTACATTTATGAACAAAAATCTTCTGAATTCATCTTTTGTAGTTGGTGTTGAAAAGTAATTTTTATGTAAAACCAATACATCTTTGGGTATGGCTTACATATTAAGTAAGGTTATACGCAAGATGAATTTAGAAGATTTTGGTTATCTTCTTCAATGACTCACCAAGGGAAGACTAAATCAGCAACAGTTAAACCATTCCATTTAGAATGTTTAAAAAACCAGTAATAACCTCCACGATAATTAACAAATATCATAATAACTATTGCTATCCTATATTATAAATTCATCAGTCTAAAATCATCACTCAAAAGTTTGATATTGTATTTGAATATTAGAGAAGCATTTGAATATCATTTGTTAGGTTATAAATCACATTACACTAAGTAATGATGTTTTTTCTATTCAGATATTTTCTCCTATATATCTTATGCTTTTGTTTTAGTGGCGTTTCTAGGAAATATTAGTTGAGAGGGCCACAAAATTTTCCAGCCTGTAGAAATACCACTGTTTTGTTTTTCAGCACTGTAATCATGAACAAATTTTAATTACTGTTGTTATCACATGGCGAAATGTCCCTTTCAACTGCTGAAATAAAACAATTATATTTAAAATATAGGGTAATAACCAAGACAAATCCATTAAGAAAAGATTATAATTCTTACCCTCTAAAAGCATCCAATGATTTTAATCTTTCCTTTTTAACTTTTTTATCATCTTGACTAGATTGTGACTGATCATCAGCTGCATTGATATTTGTTGGACTTCCTAAATCCTAAACATGCAAACAATATCATGACATCAATGATGGTTAATAATGTTCATTTATGTACCCTATAATTGCAAATTTTGTGTGCCCTCTTTTTTACTATTAAGTGAATCTGGAAAAATCAATTACAGTAAATAAGTAGTATATGTCTTTTCGGATATGACGCATTTCACTTCTGCGCATGCGCAGCTTTTTCAATGCATCATATCCGAAAAGACACAACTGTTAAAATGTATTATAACAGACTCCCCAAACTGTATTATAACAGACTCCTTCCAAACTGTATTATAACAGACTCCATATAAATTACCCAAAAGCACAGACAAGAATCAGTAAAATAATACAGTATATAATAACCGCATTAAAAATGTCTTTAATTTTAAAACACGAACAAAAAAAATTCGAAGGAGACGGTTTCTTCTCTGCGCTAACATCTCTCATCCCCAAAGTGGCCAATTTTGTCTCAAACAACAAATCCCTCATTTCCTCAGAAGCGCAAGCTCTTGGATCTGTGGCAATAGCAGGAGTAAATATAAGCGATGCAGTGAAAAAATCTGACGAACTTAAAGAACTGCAGCTAATAAGAGAACTAAGAAACACGAGACTAAAACGAAAAGCCCTAGAAAAACAAGGAAAAGGGTTTAAAATCATTGGATAAAAATGGCAAGCAAAAAAATCTCACCATCGGTAGGGACAAAGACCCAAATAAACGACGGAGGAAGAGTTACCTTTGAAATTAATTCGTTGTCCAATTGGTTGCTGCTTTCCGATGCCCATTTCCGATGCGATTTCAAAATCAAAGATGCCACTCAGAATCGAATTCCACAAACCAACACGACTTTAGAAAATAACTTCTTTCCGTCTTTATTCAGCGAAATGGTTTTGGAAGCTGGTTCAAATCCGATAGAGACCAAAAAACACCCCGGCGAGTTTGACACAATGTTGAAAACGGTTCTCTATCCCAAAAACTACGATTCAGTTTCGGGATGGATTCCCGATGTCAGTGCAGAGAAGTTTTAAAAGAACCGGTCAGAACTGTAGCAAATGATGCAGACCTTGCTAGGATAAGGGTAGTTGCTAGAAACACACTGGAAAGAGTGACTCGCGGAGTAAATCACGGATTTGATAAACAAGCGCTTCAATACAACAATGTCGTCGAGAACAACAGATGGGGTAATTACGTAAATTGGAAGTTGTATCCTTTATTTGGTCTCTTGGAACACAGAAAGGTTTCCATAGGTTTACCGTATAAAATTCATTTGCAAAGAGAAATCAACGACAACAAGATATTCTTTGGTGAAAACAACTCTGACGCAAAATTGGAAATAACGAATATCCAACTTTACATACCGGTAATCACTCCATCCGTAGAAGTGGAAACGAGAATATTCAACTCTTTAACCAAAGACATCGAAATTGCTTTTCTTCGTCGTAACACGGTAGGTAGCATGACATTAACTGGAGAATCCACCACGTGGCCAATCACCAACACCGTCAAACCAGCGAGATATCTAATGGTCGGTTTCAAAAACTTGCCAGACTCTCAGACAAACAACAACAACATTTTCAGAGTGGCATTGAACCATACTCAAGATCCCATCATTCGCAAAGTTCAAGTCAGATTGAACAACGATAATTATCCCAATCAACCTTTGACAATTGATCCTTCCAAAACAGATTACAACGAATTGTACAGAAACTATAAAAACATGTGCGAATTGTTTGGAAATACGCCTCAGTTTGAATACACAGATTTTTCACTCAATCATCCAATCTTTTGTTTCGATCTGTCAGCTCATCAAGAAGATCTTTTCAAAACAGGGGTAAACATAAATATTCACATCGATAAAACACAAGGAGATGTGACCGGCTACTGTTTATTGCTGGAAGAAGCAAAACATTTGATTAAAATATCAGATAGAAGAATGATAAGAATTGAATAAAAAAAACACCCTTTAAAAATGAAACCAGAAACTTTAGTTAAGAAAATAATAGAAGCTATGGAAACGAATTCGCCGACTCTAATAACTTACAACGGTAAAAAAGTGCATATAACCCAAAAGATTATCGATAAATACAAACATTGCAAAGTCAGAGACGATATAGACTTGGAAAGAATTGATGAGAATTTAACTAAAAAAGGTGGATTTTTACCTTTCTTACCTTTAATCTTTGCTGGTTTAGCTGCAGCTGGTGCAACTGCTGGTGGAGCTGCTGGGATAGCCAAAGCTGTCAACGATAAGAAAGCTGAAGCCGCTGCAAACGCCGAAGCGCGTAGACACAATTTGGCAATGGAAAGAGAAGCATGAGGAGGTTCGGGAGTAGGAGATATATTAGGGACGGTTAAAGAATTCGGACAAAGGTTTGGCGAAGAAACCAAGAAAACCGTTAAAGAGGGATTAAGCAAATTAATAGATAAAATCGACACTGGAGAAATGAAGGTCGAACACAAGGGTGACGCCATATTTTTTAAAAACATACGTTCGGGCGAGGGAATCTTCCTTTCAAAGTATAAAGGCAACGGGGTGATTTTTGGTATGAAAATGTAATAAATAAAAATGGGCAAAAAATTTAATCATTCAGAAATATTTCCTAATAACCCAATGCTCATGTGTATATGCGGTAGTTCAGGTTCTGGGAAAACTCATCTCACTTTTAACATGTTGACAACACCAAACCTTTTAGATTTCGATTCTCTGTATATCTACACAACAACACCAGAGCAATCGTATTATCAATTCCTCAAAGCTTTGGAATATTTACCAAAGAAAGATGTTCAAGACCTATTTCAATATTACGAAGAAAACGAAGAAGAAGTGGAAATAAAAGATATCATAGAAAACTTCATTAAATCAAAGAATCCATCTTTCAATCCAACGGATATAAAAGTTTTTCTTACGAAAAATGTTAATGATCTAGACTTGTCTAATATTGATAGCAATCGAAAGAACTTAATATTGTTTGACGACTGCATAGCGCAAAGAAATCAAACTGTTCAACAAGAATTCTTCACCAAAGGAAGACATCACAACTGTCACTGCATATACCAATCCCAATCTTTTTACGGGATGGATTCTATGTTCATTAGAAAAAATGCAAATTGTTTTTTATTATTTGAATTAAACGATAAAGATTTATCTCAAATCATTCAGTCTATAATTCACGGAATGGATAGAGATACATTTAAAAAGGTTTGTAAAGCTCAATGGAGAAACCCAGATGATCATGGATATGTATTTGTAAATACTAGAAAACCTGCGGGAGAAAGAGTTATGATTGATATATGTTAATTTTATTTTTTTAAAAATGACGGATTGGAATAATTTTTAAAAAGAAATAGAGAATATATCAAAGCTAAGAATAAAATAAAGACCCAAGTTGAAAATAAGT